AAAAAAAAAAAAAGGAAGGAAGGAAGGAAAAGGAGAGAGGGAGATTTGGGAAGGTGAGGAAGGAGAAAACAAGGAGAGAAGGAACGATAAGAAAGGAAGGAAAGCCAATCCTCTTCAAAAAAAGGTTACATCTCAGATTGGAGGAAATGAAGGAGATGTAACTACTGTGTATGTTGTGTATGTTGTCCTGGAGTGGATTCTAGTCCGGTAGGACTTCAGCAGGACAAGTGACAAAATACAGTCTCTACAACACGCGTGATCTCAAATTATGTTCTAAAGCTGGGAGATGCCACCAACTCGATGCAGATCCTGGGATTTTTCTCTTCCAATGTCAGCAGAACAGTTGGCCATGAATCCACCTTTCCTGCCTCTCACACATATCTATCTCCACACTGTGATTTATGTTCCTGAACAAATGAGACTTAATTTAAGAGCAAATCATCAGCAACAGGTATAATAATCTTGGCAGAACATTTATTTTAATTAATTGCTTTCTGCCTAACATAGATAGAAGGATGTTGGTGCCATTTACCCTTATAAGGATTAGTGCTGTCATGTAATTAATTTTTTTTCTTCCCCTAGAACTTAAAAGTCTCATCAGTTTTAAATTACAAAGGCACTGGTTGACTTCCTATTTAATCATAACAATCTAACTTCTGTGGCAATGTTTACATAAGATTCTTGGGAAAGAGAAATGGTGTCCAACTACTCTGTCGTTATGGATACCTGCTCCCTTACATAGATCCAGCTGGGCTTATGGGGATAAAAGCAGGAACTGGTCTGGGCTAGGCTATATCCTCCCTCCATAGACCTGGCAGGGACGGGATCAGCTTCATTATTATTGTGTGTATGTGTGCATACATATGTTCTTGTACCTGGGCTTGAACTCAGGGCCTGAGTGCTATCCTTGAGCTTCTTTGTGCTCAAGGCTACCACTCTACCACTTGAGCCACAGCACTACTTCCAGCTTTTTTGGTGGTTAATTGGAACTAAGAGACTCACAGACTTTTCCTGCTAAGGCTGGCTTTGAACCACAATCCTCGGATCTCAACCTCCTGAGTATCTAGGATTATAGTTATGAGCCAATGGTGCCTAGCCCATTATGATGATGATGTGTGTCTTCATGCTAATACTAGGCTTGAACTCAGGGCCTGGGGGCTGTCCCTGAGCTTTTTCACTCAAGACTAATGCTCTAACACTTGAGCCACAGCTCACCTTTCAGCTTTCTGGTGGTTAACTGGAGGTAAGTGTCTCACAGACTTTCTTGCCCGGGCTGGCTTCAAATTACAATCCTCAGATCTCAGCCTCCTGAGTAGCTAGGATTTGCAAGTGTGAGCCACTGACATTGGGCTAGCTTTATTATTTTTTGGCAGTCCTAGGGTTTGAACTCAGGGCCTAGGCACTGTCCCTGAGCTTCTTTTTGCTCAATGCTAGCACTCTATCACGAGAGCTAGTGCCACATCCAGCCTTTTCTGTTTATATTGTACTGAGGAATCAAACCAAGGGCTTCATTCATCCTAGGTAAGCACTCTACCACTATAGCTTTATTATTTATACTTCAATGGAGACAATAAGGAAACAATTTTTCTCCATCATGTGGAGAAATAATTGTCTAAAATATCTGTCAAAAAGTGGTAGAAAACACAATACACTCAATTTTTTCCCAAATTAACAAGTTCAGTATTATTTGTAAGTGGTCTGACGATGTTTCTAAAGAAGAGGCAGAAATAGCTAAAAATGAAACTTAAGGAACTTTCCAGGGGAAGGGCTAAACAGCCATAACTAAAATGTTTTCACTATATAAACATAAAAATTAAAATTTATACTATATGTCACTAGAAATAAAACTGTATGCTGAGTTCGGGTGGCTCACGCCTGTAATCCTAGCTCCTCAGGAGGCTGAGATCTGAGGATTGCAGTTCAAAGCCAGCCCGGGCAGGAAAGTCCACGAAACTCGTCCCCAATTAACCACCAGGAAACCAGAAGTGGTGCTGTGGCTCAAAGTAGTAGAGTGAAAAAGCTCAGGGAGAGAATCCAGCCCCTGAGTTCAAGCCCTACAACCAATAGAAAGAAAAAAAAACTGTAATTGTGAGCTTTTACCTTTGATAGTCCATCATATTCCATTATTAGTTATTTGTCTTTTCAAATAGGACAGGGAAATTGAAGTCTTTCCTATATCATCAAATACAACTTGAACTCAGGACCTGGGGGTTGTTCCTGAGCTTTTTTGCAAAAGGCTAGTACTCTACTACCCCAGCCATTGCTCTACTTCCAGCTTTTTTTGGTGGTTACTTGGGGATAAGAATCTCACAGATTTCCCTGACTGGACTGGCTTTGAACCACAACCTTCGGATTTCAGCCTCCTGAGTAGCTAGGATTACAGGCATGAGCCACTAGTGCTGGGCTGTCAAATATATCACCATGTGTTTTCTGTAAGTTCAGTTACCTTCCTTATACCAATACTGACTGCTAGGAGGCAGTTAGGATACACACATGTACAAACTACCATGAAACCCTTGACAGAAAAACAAGGCCTGACTGATGAAATCACAGCCTACTAATTACATGTCAAAATACACATTTAGTATTCAATTAACACAAAGTGGCGCTGTAGCTCAAGTGGTAGAGCACTAGCCTTGAGCTGAGGGACAGCGCCCAGGCCCAGAGTTCAAGCCCCACAACCGACCAAAAAAAAAAACAAACACAAAAACCACAAATTTGGAATCATTAGCTTTATTTGTCACTCTTTATACACATTGGTCCACTTTCACATGAAAAGTACAAATCATCCATTTTCACTTAATATTTCATAGAATGTAGTTGTACCACAAACCATAGAAACTTCACACAGGGAAAGTTACTGAAATCACAATATTTTATATTCATGCTTCAAGATATTCCTTAAAAAGCTGGCTTCATATAGGCTCATTACAACCATCCATACTCCACAAAGCTGGTCTTTCCTTCAATCATCATAGTACATATCTTTACTTTTCTTTTTGTGACAGACTAGGGCTTGAATTCAGAGTCTTGCACTGTTACTTAGCTTTTGAGCTCAAAGCTAGTGCTCTACCACTTGAGCTAGAGCTCCACTTTCATGTTTTTTGCTGGTTCATTAGAGATAAGAATCTCACCCAGCCCAGCACAGTATTTTTAATACCTTTATTAAACTATACAGATCACTAAACTTGCAGAAATGGTTGAAAAAAACCCAGCCATCTTGTCAATCAGTTCTAAAATCCAGTGATTGTAGGAACACATCCAGTAATTTTAGGCCTGCTCTAAATTTAAAAGCTTTTCTCTTGTCTCAGAGATATTTACATCAAATTAAGACATTTACAAATAGCTCATAAAACACGACAGTGAAAGATAATTTTCATTAGCCTATGTGAGAAAATGAAGCATTCCTAAGGTCTCTAATAAACTCAGTGCATTTTCCAACATAAATAACAAGCTATTGTAAGTGGTTTATGTTTCTTTCAGTGCATTCTCCACATTTATTAAACGGAATGTCATTACATTATTATATGGCTATATCATAAAATTTGAGCATAATATAGAGTCTATATCACAGAATTCAGCTCACAGCAATACCATAATTCAGTCTAAAAAAAAGCCCCAACAGACACACAAAAAATAGAGAACAAAAATTCGCTGTTGTTTTTCATTTTGATAAATTTAAGATACATTATCTATACTTTAGACCACACTACAAGACGTATTAGAAGAAAATGACCCATTTCCAAACTCCTTGTGTATGTATGTATGATGTAAGGAAAGTTCAGTCCATTCGAATTTTCTGATTTGTCATCCGATAAATGATGCTGTCATACCCAGGGTCCATGTTCCAAATGTTGTAGGAGGTTATAAGGACCGCCAGGGCCAAGACAATCATCAACCAAAGCACCAGGTTGAAAATCACCGAATACTCAAAATTGTACTTGTATGCCAGGTTATAGGGGACGACTTCCTTCTATAAGAACGAAAAGAAGGAGAAAGAAAATCAAGGAAGAATTTTCAGATAAAACATTATTCTAGTGTTAGTGGCTATGACTCATTCTCTAATTAACACAATCATAAATGACATAAGAACACCTTATGGGAGGAGAAAGCAGGAAGGGAGCTTCTTGCTGATGACACTAGCAGCACTGGTGGAGTGTAGAACCAGTCCAACTGCTTGAGAATACTGGTGATACCTAATGCAGGTGAAGGCATGCCAAGCTTGTGAGCTAGTAAGGCTGTCCCTTAGAACAAACACTTTTTTTTTTTTTGGTCAGTTATGGGACTTGAACCCAGGGACTGGGCACTGTCCCTGAGCTCTTTGGCTCAAGGCTAGTGCTCTACCACTTTGAGCCACTTCTGGTTTTATGGTGATTAATTAGAGATAAGAATCTCACAGACTTTCCTGCCCAGGCTGGCTTTGAACTGCAATCCTCAAATCTCAGCCTCCTGACCACTTAGGATTACAGGCGTAATGCCAGGCCTACTCATTCTTTGACTGCAGCTGAGCGCCCATGGCTCACGCCTGTAATCCTAGCTACTCAGTAGGCTGAGAGCTGAGGATCACGGTTCAAAGCCAGCCCAGGCAGCAACATCCATGAGACTCTTATCTCCAATAAACCACTAGAAAACTGGAAGTGGCGCTGTGGCTCAAGCGATAGAGCGCTTGCCTTAAGCTGAAGAGTGCAGGGACAGCACCCAGGCCCAGAGTTCAAGCCCCACAACAGACCAAAAAAAACCCCAAAAACAAAAACAAATATTATCTTAAAACAACATGGTGTTGCCAGGTGCCAGTGGCTCATACCTCCTAGCTACTCAGAAGGCTAAGATCTAAAGATCATGGTTTGAAGCCAGCCCTGAAAGGAAAGTCTGTGAAACTCTTATCTCCAATTAACCACCAAAAAGCCAGAAGTGGAGCAATGGCTCAAAGTGGTAGAAGCTAACCTTAAAAGAAACTCAGGGACAGCATCCAGGCCCAGAGTTCCAGCCCCAGGATCAGTGGCACATGCACACACACACGCACACACACATGCGCGCATGTGCACGCACGCACGCACACACACACATACAGGAAAAAAGAAAAAAATTAAAAACTATATGGTGTCAATACAGTTTATATTCTTTAGATAATTCTGTTCAATGTTATAGACCCAAATACATATTATGATCTACTTAAAATTCTCTTCGAGTGGAAAACAGGTGACTTTTCAATCACCTCCTTGCTGTTGAAGCGCCATCCTCCAGGCCTTAGAGGTGAAGCTCCATTCCAGGCCTGTACAAAGGCACTGCCTGAGAAAGTCAATCATTCCTTCCGGCCGGAGAAGCAGGGCAGTGATGACAACCACTCAGCAAAGTTCAGGCATTAGTGAGCAAGACAATCATGTTTAACTTAAAAACAAGCCAGGTGCTGGTGGCTCATGCCTAAAATCCTAACTACTCAGGAGGCTGAGATCTGAGAATCAAAGTTCAAA